TACAAAGAGTGCACACCCACCTAATTCACCCCACAGGGACCTCCCACCTCCCGGCTGAGTCCGCAGCACCAGTCCCCGCTCCTCTCCCTTTCCTCTTCCTTTGCTCACCTGATTCTCCTACCTTTAGGTGCTCTGATGCGCAGGCCTCTCAGATGTGTTTGAGTGTTCGGCTGGGTGTTTTCTGTTGGATTGTAGCTGTTCAATTTGTTGTAATTTCAAGAGAAGAGATCCAGGGGACACCTCATGCTGCCATGCTTTTGACATCCTAATTTGATTATTTGTATTTTGTTTAGTATCTTTGTATCTATGTTCATAAGTGAATTGGGTCTGTAATTGTCCATTCACATAGAGTATCCAGTTTTGATTTGAGTGTCAAAGTTAAGAAGTATTCCTTCTTTTTTCTGTTTCTTAGAAGAGTTTGTATAAGATAGGAATTGTTTATTCTCAAATGATTGATGCGATATACTAGTAAAAAACCATGTAGGCCTGTGTCTGTTGTAGATCGACTAATTTATATGTTAAAATACTTTAACATTGAATCAGCAATTTAAAATTTTGTTTTTCTTTAATATCATTCTGGGATTGTCCATTTTGTCTACGACTTTCAATTTATTGGCGTTATGTTCATATTTTATTACTTTAAAATATTTTTATTATATATGCAGTTATTTCTCCTTTTTCATTCCTGTACTTTTTGCTTATAACTTCTCTCTTGATCAGTTTCTACAAAGGGATGCTAATGTGTTTAGTCTTTACAGAGAACTAAACTTTAGCCTTTTTTGATCCTTTTTATTAAATCTTTGGGATTTTTAGCCCTTCTTTATGCTTCTTTTGAAGTTATTCTATATTTTTCCTGACTTTGTGAGATGAATGTTTATTGTGTTAATTTTTAGCCTACCTTCCTTTCTAATGTGAATTTTTAAGGCTAGAAAATTTCATCTGAGTATGGCATTAGTTCTGCATCACACAAACCACATTCCACTCATTTCATTGTTGTTCAGTTCTATTTTTTGTTCATTTTAATTTTTTAATCCATATGTAGATATGTTTTTTTAAATTTCTAAATATATATTTTAATAAAGTTTTTATCTTAGAAAAGTTTTAGATTCTTACAGAAAAATTGTGGAGAGAATTCCCATATTAATTAATTCATCATTGAGTTGTGGCTAGACAGTAGGTACATCTCAGATTATTTCAGATTTGCTTTATGGCCTAATGCATGATCAGTTTTTTTGTCTCATGCTTGAAAACTATGTATTTTCAAATTACTGGGTACAGGATTCACTATAATTTTCTATATGTATTAAGCTTCTTAATAGGGTCTTTTGTAACTTCTCTATTCTTACTGAGTTTTGTCAGTTACTGAGAGTTTTGTTAAAATCTCCCAAGCTGGATAATTTTTTCTTTGTCAGTTTTATATATGTATACACAAAGACACCTTGAGGCTATGTAGGAGTACATGGAAAATTAAAATTATTTAATCAACTTGTAAATTTACTTTTTATTATTTTATAGTAACTCCCACTTAAAATTCCTTTTACTGCTTTAGGTATCTGTTTTGATTGATACTAATAAAGCTACACTCGCTTTTTTTAGGTTATTGTTTGTCTAATTTTTTTCTGTCTTTTTACGTCTATTTTTTCTGTCTTGATGTTTTAAAATCCCTTTTAAATCACATAGTTTTAATTTATTTCAGTTTTTAATCCAACTTGACATTTGGGGGTTATTTCTATCTTTATTTTATGATTTCTGCTTATCTTATTTTCTCCGTAACTCACTTCTCTTTTACTACCTTCTTTTGGATTAATTAAATGGTTCGCCCCATTTTTCCCTTTTCTGTTTTGGAAGTTACATGGTATTTCCTTAGCAATGCCCTTCATATTTTAACATGCACAGTTAATTCAATGTCCGAATAATCAGAAATGCTTTCTCCTAAATAACATAATGATTTTTAAACATTTCATTTCAGTCACCCCATCACCAGCAATAACGATGTTGTTATTGTCTAGGAATAACAGCATTGTTCTGCCTTTTTTATCTCCCAAATTAGATACTGAAATTATAGTCAGTATTTCTCTGGATTTACTCCTGTGTTTCAGTCTGTGCTCACTAAGCCTTTCATTATGTCAGACCTAATTTTATTTTTTGTAAAGTACAGTCGGTCATCATTAGTCATCATTATTTGTGCATTTTGTAGTTACACATTTATCCAGTTGATAAAATCTATCTGTAACCTGAAAATCAGTCCTCACTGTGCATTCAGGGTCATTTGTGGACATGCTCAGGCAATGAAAACTTTGAGTGGCCAGATGTACATATTTGCATCTGAGGCCGAACAACGCAAGGCTATGCCTTCTTATTTTAGCTCTCTTACTATAAACAAGTGTATTTTTTATTTTCTATTTCATGTCACATTTTTTGTGCTTTCTATTGGTGATTTCACTGATCCCCATGTAGTGTTGAAGTACTGTGTAGTGTTCTAAGTGGAAGGTTGTGATATGACTTATGGAGAATATATGTGTGCTAGAAAAGCTTCTTTTAGGCATGAGCTATGCTGCTGTTGGCCATGAATTCAATGTTAATGGATCAGCAATATATATCATATAAGGTGTGTGAAAACAAATACACATAAACCAGGTTTATATTGACAATCAAGAGACTCACAGGAATCTAACCCTGTATTTCCCCTACGAGCAATGATTGTACTCACTAATTCACTGTTTACAATGACTTCATGAAACATAACTACTCTGAATAATATGAATCTACTGTATATCTCTTGGAAGTTACTTTAGCATCTTGTTTGAAAATTTAGCTCAGTCTGATTTTTATAAGTAATTTGAATGTTCACTATGATTCTTTTTAGTTATTTAAGTCTTTAGTATTCTCAGGTTTACTATGATGTATTTAAGTGCAGATTTATTTTTATTCATCTTGCTTGGAATTTTTTTGAGGAGTTTCGTAAATCTAAAGATTTTTTCCTCTCATCAGTTATGGAAGACACTCTGGCATTATCTCTTCGAATATAACCTTTCACACATTCTCTTTATTATATCTTCCTGGGATTTCTAATATTAGAGTTTTTTATTCTAGTTTCTTCTCTTCTGTATCAACCTTATTTTTTTCACTCTACTCTCAGTTCATATCTATATTCGGTTTACTAATTTTCTCCCAAGCTTATCTAATTTTCTTTTATCTTCTTTGCTATACCCGCAGCTATGAACCAAGGCCCATAATAACAGTTAACCTTGTCATCTCCTTCGGCAGCTCATAAGACTATTTTCTATCCCACCCTGTGTTAATGTTGGAGCCTTCAAGGGTTCTAGCTTTGTTCGGAAAGTTCAGTTCCATCACTTCATCTTGTGTGGGCCCAGTAGGGGTCTTCAGCTTCAGGGGCTTCAGTGCTTACCTACTACTGATATTTTCTTCTTCCTCTTTGGTTCTGTACCCTGAGGATTGTCCTTCCTTTTTGCATGCTAAACTCTCTACTTAAAAGGACATTTGTTGTAGTTTATTCAGTATTTCCAGGTGTTTTTCTAAATATCTAGCCTTCCATATTTATGGAAGTAGTTCATGTTTTTTTATAATGAAGGGGGAAAAAAGCTTTCTGGTATTAAGTGAACTTTTATAATGGGTCTCCTTTTTTTGGTCAATATTTTATACCATGATCAATCTTAATGATTAATATTAAATAATTCAGCTGTCAGTCCTCGATATTTGCACTTTATAGTAACTTTCAGGTTTAAGGGAAGCTGAAAACAACAAAGAATATTAATTACAGGATTCATCTAAAATAATTGGCTACTTAATTCAGCTTTTAACTATAGTGACTTTTTCTACAGAGACAGTGATTCTATTTGAGAGATGATTGGGGAAATGAAAAATTCATTATTTTTTCTTTATCTCTATCTATATTAGTGATTCAGATTCTCAACCAGGTTCAATTTTTTTCCCCCTTACCCAGGTGATATTTGACAATGTCTGAAGACATTTTTGTTTTATTAACAGGTGGGAGAGGAGGCAAGTGTCATCTAGTGGATAAAAATCAGGGATGCTGATAAACTTGCTAGAATTCACAGGACAGCCCTGCAACAAAGTATGATCTGGCCCAAAATATCAGTAGTGCTTATGTTGAGAAACTATTTAGAAAAATGCTATAACTTTCTTAGTCATCTAGCTGAAATTGCTAAATCTTACTTATAAATGTAAAGTATATTTTACATTAAAATTACCCAGAAATTTATACGCATATACTTGTTTTCCGAACAATTCTAGGTATATCTGTCATTGATGAAAAATACTCAGGGTAGCAAAGTCATCCCTCTTATTATCTGTAAATAAGGTGTTAAATTAGACCCGTGTTGCCATTGAAAGATGAATAGGATAGCTTAATTTATGATTTAGCTTTGGTAAATAAAATTATCAAACAGCTGTTGTTTTCTGATAGTGATATAATCATTCTAAAAGTTAGCTTTTTAAACTATATGCTGTATGTGTACCTTTAAAAAAAAAAGTCTTTTTCATAGATGTCCTGAAAAAATACAGAATCAAGGTTAAAAAAAGATTTTACTATTTTCTAAAGGGCAGAAAACCGAAAGAATCTCTCTAACTAGTTATTTATAATAGCAAAAAACAAGTTGGTTTTTAAATAATCCACATTGCTTTGTCATATTCCTGTGCATATACTTCATATTTTTTTTGTTGTGTCATGAAAATGAAAAGTTTATGGAATTGCAAATTGGAGTCTTACTGAACAGAGAACTTTTCTTTTCATTATTATTTTTTATTTTTTAATTAAAACAATTTTTCTTTGACCATTTTTAAAAATTTTTAAAAAATTATTATTAGGTTCAAGTATACAGTACATTGGTTAGACATTTATATAGTTTACGAAACTTTCCCCCCCGATTATTCTTTCTCCCCTCTGGCTTTATACCTAGCCATTACATTAATGCTGACTGCATTCCCTATGCTGTGCTCCCCATCCTGGTAACCATCTATCAACTACTTATTTGTATAAGTATACTACTTCTATAACCCTTCACTGCTTTCTCCCAGCCCCCCACTCCCGTCCCCTCTGGCTGTCACCAGATTGTCCTCTATATTTGTGAGTCTGTTTTTGATTAGTTTGTTCTTTTTGTTCATTAGATTCCGCATATAAGTGAAATATGGCATTTCTTTTTCTCTGACTTATTTCACTCAGCATAAGAACCTCTAGAAGCTTGGTAAAGGGTATAAAATAACTTTTCTTTTGCAATTTTCTTTAAGTCTAGAACTATTTACCAAGCTTCATTTAGTGTTAACATCTTACAAAACCATAGTGTAATTATCAAGAAAAGGAAATTAACATCACAATATTATTAACTAAACTACAAATCTTACTTGGATTTCACCAGTTTTTCCACTAATATCCTTTTTCTGTTCTAGGTTCTAGTGCAATATCCCACATTTCATTTAGTCAGCCTGTCACCTTAGTTTTCACCATTCTGTACTAGTTCATCCGTCTTTCTTTTCATGAACTTGACACTTGAAGAATACACTGGCCGGTTATATCATAGGGTGTCTCTCTGTTCAGGATTGTTTGATGTTTTCTCTTGAGTAGATTGAGGTTATGATTTTTGGCAACAACACCATAGAGATGATGCTATCCCCTTCTCAGTTCATCATTTTAGAAGGTAAATGATGTTGAAATGTCTTAACTACTGGTGATGTTATCCTAGGTAAAGTTGTGTTCGCCAGGCTTCTCTACTATAAAGTTACTATTTTTCCTTCATAATTAATAAATATCTTTCTTGCTGTTAATTTAATGAAGTTTTAAAAATAGAAAACAAATGTGGAAGAGATAAAAATCGTTCTGTTTCTTCAAATAGTTTGGGAATAGTTAACTTAAATAGCATAATTTTATCTGATAAGTTTTATAAATTTAACTTCTTGTTTGCATATAGTTAGGTTGGGAAATGACTTATTTGAATAGCCTTAACATATATTTACAGAACACCTATTTAACTTGAAGTTTGCAGCAAAAGAACTTAATAGGAATGCCAAGAAATGTGATAAAGAAGAAAAGGCTGAAAAGGCCAAGATTAAAAAGGTAAGCCATTTTTAATATTTTTACCTTTTTTAAGATTCATGAGATGAAGACAGTTAATCATGGAAGAATATTTGCTTTAGGTTTTTTTTTTTTTTTACATTGAAGAAATATTGCTGGCTTTAGCATTCTAAAACAAATATCTATTTAAATAAATAATTTATTATATGACACAGTTAATAATGACTCTTTTATATTCATTACTATTTATGTGTTCAAGTATGGCTCACATAGAGTATAACTATTCTGTTACCTGCGTCTGAAAACTATCCTTTGGTTTGTAGCCAGCACTATTACTGAGAAGTATAAAGCCTACATTAAGGATAATATTTAATGTTTTGGCTCATAATAATTTCTCTAAAGTTTTATATCTAAACAGTGCATAACATTAATGTATATCGTGGTTTGTGTATTTGTTAGGAAGATTCACAGGATTCAACATAGAGTTGTACTTATGGCTGTGATGTATTACACTAAAAGCATACAAAGCAAAATAAATTTAAAAAAAGCTATAAAAAGGGAAATCCTGCCATTTGTAATAGTGAGGATAGTCCTTGAGGTCATTATGCTAAGTGAAATAAGTCAGATAGAGAAAGGCAAATACCATATGATCTCACTTACGTGGAATCTTAAAAAAAAAAAAAAAAACATAAGAACAGATTAGTGGTTGTCCAGGTGTGGGGAAGTGAAATGGATGAATGTGGTCAAAAGGTACAAACTTCTGGTTATAAAATGAATAAGTCCTGGGGATGTAATATACATCCTGGTGACTATTGTTAATACCATATTGTATATTTGAAAGTTGCTAAGAGAGTAGATCTTAAAAGTGCTCATCACAAGAAAAAAAAGTGGTAACTGTGTGTGGCTGTCGATGTTAACTAGGAGAAAAATCTTGGGAAGTGTGTGAGGTTGCATGTCCTAGTATATTTATCACATTGCTGTTTATATTATTGAAGAATTGGAAACAAACTAAATACCCAGCAGTCAGGGATCTTAATCCACGTTCTCAAATTTCAGTCACTTCTGTACCTTCTTGGTTTTGCTGTTTTGGGGCACCATCTGAACTATTTAATATTTTTCTTTAAATTGACTTTTCACTTTAACCTTGGCCAAAGCTATTACAGCAAGAAAAGCATGGATCTGTTAATTACATCTATTTCAAATATTCATTTAAATAAGTGCATAATTAAAATGAAGATACTTATGTCTGTAACATCCAATATCATTTTATATGCTATCAGTAGTGTTCCACACACACAGGAAAACCCTGATTGATGGTACATTCTTACTACACAGCCTTTAGAAATGATGATGTAGTTATATATTTAACTGAAAAGATTTTTTTAAATATTAGGTAAGAGAGAAAACAGTATGCTTTACACATTTACTTTTGTGGTTAATTTATACTGTCATAAATAGGTTTATGTACTTGGAATACTGCACACTAAAACATTAACAGTGGTAGTGACTTAGCGATATGATTATGGGAAATGTTTTAAACCTTATAATTTCTTAAAATATTAATGACCATATATTTTTAAATCATAATTTAAAAATCAAAGAACTATAAATTATTTTATTTCCTTAAAAACTAATTGTAAAAGCTCATATTATTATTTTTTTAATTTTTTTTCAAGTTTTATTATGGCGACATTGGTTAGCAAAAGCCAGTAAGTTTCAGCTGTACAATTTAACAGTAAGGTGCGCGCGTGCGCACGCGCACACACACATACACACACACACATCTGTGTGTGTGTGTATGTGTGTGTATATATGTATTGCATTGTGTTCTTATATATTATTAAAACATTAATTTGGGGTTGATTTCCTCTTTTTAAAATATTCGTACTTTTGCTCCCTTTTTTGTCAATATTTACTTTTGCTTTTTGTCTTCATCACTATTTACTTTTGTTCTGTTTAAAACAGGCCATTCAGAAAGGCAATACAGAAGTTGCAAGAATACATGCTGAAAATGCAATCCGCCAGAAGAACCAAGCAATTAATTTCTTGAGAATGAGTGCTAGGGTTGATGCTGTGGCAGCCAGAGTTCAAACTGCAGTAACGATGGGCAAGGTAAGGCTTAACATTTATAAATAGTAGGAACTCTTGATTTAAGTTTAATGAGAGTATTAGGAGTTGTCAGAAATTTAAATTCATTGCACAGTGCTGTAAGGTTCTGGTAAAGGCCTTTATGGACAAGAGAGATATAGTCAAAATGCTTAGTGAGGAAAATGATTTTGGCAGTGGCTTTTAAACTAAGGTCTGTTAATTTTCTTGCCATGAAGAGTCAAAGATAAAAGATGGTCAGTGCCTATTCAAGAAATACATACTGTATTTTCAATCTCAAGGAGAGAATAGACACATTTCATAAATTGCTCTGTAAGAAATATATTTAAGAGACTATGTACATTTTGAGATTACTTACAGAATACTCAATCTTTTTTTTATACTTCCAATAGGTAACCAAGTCCATGGCAGGTGTAGTTAAGTCTATGGATGCTACATTGAGGAGTATGAACCTTGAAAAGGTAAAACAAAAAATTATTTGATCTTCGGATGGCATCTTTTCAGTGCAAGTTTTTCTTATGACCTTATTTCTTTTTACAGATTTCTGCCCTGATGGACAAATTTGAACACCAATTTGAAACACTGGATGTTCAAACACAACAAATGGAAGACACAATGAGTAGCACTACAACCTTAACAACACCCCAAGTAAGAATGGTTTCTTTATTTAGAATAACTTGTTAAAATTCCTGACTTCAAAATATAATGGTTTTGTGAATCATTTCTAGAATGTGAAGTAATCATCATGTCCCCA